ACTCCAAAACAGCTCCTCACGAGTCAGACATGATCAAGAAGAAGCTGGTCTGCTTTTCTTCCTTAAGAGTTTATTTCGTTTCGCATGCTCTTTGGTTAACCTTGGACTTAAAAAAATAAGAAAAAATATTTTTAGTATTTCATTTAATTTCATTTTCATCAGTGCAAGTTTTGCAGTTTTTTCGGATTCTGTTTGATGACCGTGGTTATTCTTCTCAATTTCGATAAATGATGGTTTGAATAAACCATAAAAAAATCCAGCTCCTCCCCAGTTTAGCTGCTCATTTGATAGCAAATTGGTCATGGTTCATGGCGGTGAATCAAATCATCGTCAGATTACTTTTTAAGCAGCCCTCAAAAGATCGATTTTACAGTTTTTCCAGTGTATGACCGCCGAGGTACTTTCTATTGCGTTACTGCCGGGGTACTTTCTACTGCTTTAGTTTCTTGTGGAAAGTGAACTGTGAAGAGACTTTTCAGCACAAAAGTGTAATAAAAATTAAAGGATTGCATCAGGAAAAATTTATTTTGATATTATTAACGGCAAAGCGGCGCGCAAAATTCGACGAGAAAACTAAGTAAAATTATATCGTAGGAGCAAGAAATTCTTGATTTTCGGACGGAGGTGCGGCCACCGGCGAAAATACGTGCCGAATTGGAGATGCTGAAAAAGGACAATAAGGAATATCGGCAGATGATCCTGGCAATCCAAAATGAAGTTTACGGTGCTCGTCTTGCTGCCAAATATTTGGATAAGGAACTCGCTGGAAGGTTTCGAAATTTTCATAAGTGCTAGACTTCCTTTTGAAAATGTAGTTCTCTTTAAAAATCTTATTACTGTTTTGATAACGATGCATATCAAAGAGCCGATGCATTGCGACAATTTGCTACAATCTCATAGCGAGCGAATGCGAGAAAGCCTAAAAAAAATTTTTTTTTCTAACTCGTCACGAAAGTCTTGAACGAGTCGTTAATTGATTATACACAGTCCAGTCACAGATAATGGTCAGAATATTGTGTTACACGTTGTGACTGTGTTGACATAATGCTAAGTCGTAAGGTCACATTCATTTTTTATGCTTCCCGAGTTAGGATTTGAAAGTTGATTTCATAATTCTGGCTCCTACCGAAAATAATATTCCCAAATTTTAATTCCCAAATTTGTCGGCTTCTGAAGTTGATTAATTGCTTTCAACTATTAAGAGCAGCCAGGGAGAAAATTGTTCGATTCTGAGAGTTTCTGAGCGTCAAGAAAAAGTTTAGGATTCAGCAAATCCAACTACTTGGTCGAGATATGCGAGGCGCCGAGCACGATCGGCTGTGGAATCAGCTGGAAGCCGAGATTCACCTCCATCGCCACAAGACTGTCATTCGCGCCTGTAGGTTTGTGCATTCGATTAATTCAGTCGTATTTTGCATAGCTAGGTAACACGCTTTTTGTGTAACTCGGGCATTAGAGAGTTTCGAACCTTAACGGAGAATTTTTCCGAAAATAAGTGAGTGGCATTAGTCAACAAGGAACTAGAAAACATTTTTTATGTAGGTATTGCAGCGCCCACTAGGTGGTTACGAGAGTTGTGCTTAGAAGTCAAGCTTTCTCCAAAACTCTCAAAATTCAACTATTGAAATTCCAGAACTTCCATGCTTATAAGGATTTCTGGACTTGAACGACTCATACGTAAGTACATGCGTGTAAATGTAGGCCTGTCATAATGAGTTTCTAATCTGCGTATACAAAAAGATGCTAGTGCTAAGAAGTGCTATCTGACGTTACATTGCCACACATGTGCATTTTCTTCGGAAATAGCTCAGCTCTCGTACAAGGATCGACTCCGCTAAGGAATAACCAGCCCTTTTTATGCGTTTTTTTGCAGCTACGCAATGCAAAAACGCATATTGTCGAGGGGTTGTCTGTGTGTGTTTGTCTTTGTGTATATGTATGTGTGTGTATGTATGTGTGCCTGTGTGTGCGTCTGCAACGAGTTTTCATCTCGAGATCCACCAAAGCTACAAAGCTGAAAATTTGGTGACTTAATCGGGCTCGTATCCTCAAAATGGACACTCAGGTCCGTGTGGTTCTCACGTAAGGGCACGTGGAAGTTTTTTTGGCGCGAAAGCGTTTTCGGGAACGGTCCATGCTAGGGTCGTCACAGAGATATTCCTTGGCCCAGTCTAATCCAAAGATTTCAAATTCAGCCTTCACTACCCCTAGGTTTCACGTACGCGCACGTCACAGTTTAAACTGGCATCATGCCAACTTCAGCTTTCAGCTATCAATAAGTTGCAGAGAGCTGCGATTTTGCAGCATTACTTGACGCCCCCTAACGTGCCTGTGAAAGTAAGTTGAACTTTCCAGCCTCTCTGCATCTCATGTAAGAACACGTGAAAATTTCACGCATGCGCTTTCTTAACTTCAGAACTGAACCAGCCAGAGGATCTGGACTTTCTAAGCATAACCGACCCTGGTCTTTGACCAGATGCACGTAAAAACGACCTACACATCACTTCCGCGTCTCACGTACGTTTCACATGTGCACATGTGAAATTTGACGTAACTCTGCAACCAGAACAGCTTGAGTACTGAAACTTTCTGAGCGCTACCCAAAACCGTGTTTGAGTAACCGCAAGTGAAGAAAGCATTCACGTTACTACTCACGTACGAACACATGAAATTTTACGTTACTCCGTAACCAGATCAGTTGAAGTGCTGAAACTTTCTGAGCATTACCCAGGGCCGTGTTTGAGCAAACATGGGCTCAGAAGGCATTCACTTTGCCACTCACGTACGAACATGTGAAATTTGACATAACTCTGCGACCAGAGCAGCTTGAGCACTGAAACTTTCTGAGCGCTATCCAGGGTCGTGTTTGAACAGCCGTAGGCGAAGAAAGCATTCACGTTGCCACTCACGTACAAACGCGTAAGGTTTGATGTAACTCCGCAACCGAAACATCCAGAGCGCTGAATTTTTTGGGCATGAATTGGGAGTCACTGTGATAATTTCTAACAGTCGTGGTGGTCAGTCCCAATTCTTTTAGCTAGAAGCAACTGCCAGGAAGAACTTACACTGGCGAAAAAAGCCTGCGGAGGAACTGTGCAAAAAAAGCATTCTCGTACCGACAGCCAGCACGCTTTCGACTAGGTTAAGACTTGTTCATTCGTTTCGATAATAAAGTGGTGCTAATTCATGCCGAGAAAACGAACTGCCATTAACTTGCTTCTAAGCAAACCTTAAAAGAAATGGTTATCGACAATCTTGCAAGCGCATAGTTGCTGTTGCATGTGCTACCCGGGAATTATTTCTCACTGCCTCCGTCTTCTACAGAAAGTGAAATGATTTTGACTTTGGCTTAATAGGCATTTTTTACTTTCATATTTTAGCCGCAATTGCATGATTTTATAATCCATATGGTGTGGCTTTTTGAGTATAAGCACTGGTTTTTTCAATTTTTATGCGTTTTTTGCAGTCATGCAATACGAAAAAGCTAGCGATTTTCGCGCCAGAACCCTTATGAGGCTGTACACGGGAATTACGCACACCTGGGAACTGAATTTGAAATGTGTGAGTTGTGGGGAAATATAACCTCAAGATTTCAGCTTTCTATCTTTTCTCGTTCCCGAGTTGTCAATTTTTCCGCCAAAACTTTCACCCTCTCGTTCGCGGAGCCCAGGCTTGCGTGAGGGTCGATACCGCGGTTCTGGGGTAACACTTGGCTGGGAAACCCACTAGCAAAGTCTGCGCCAGAGCTTGCTTGCTTGCCGAGTTGAAATCTCGGACAGACGAATACACACACAAAACACACACAGACAGGGTCATTGCAATATGCGTTTTTGCAATTTGCATATGAGCTAAAACGCATAATAATTTTTCAATAAATTTGAATTTTTCACACCAAAAGTCAAATCAGTTCAGTCTTATAAAAAGCTCATCCATTCCTTTCTCTAACTATGAATCCCCGGCTTGGTAATTATTTTGTATTAATTTTTCAGTCGTAAAATTCCAAGCATAATTTGCAGAGGGCGAGGTAATCAGAAGCATTTACCATCACCACCACACCACGATTACAGAAGTCTGAGGAAACACAAAGGTGTGGGACATATCCGCGCTGTTAAACTCGTCAAGGAAACTCATGAAGGCCTCGGCATTTCGATTACGGTACTGCTTTATATAAACATACTTCCCATCCTCATCCACAGTAGTCGCTGCAAAATTAATAGGTGAAAGCTAGACATACAACACCTGCAACGCATTCGTATGGGGTCTTAAGACGCCATTTCAAACTGCTAGCTCAATGTAAGCTCGAATAACCTTAGCGGTG